AAAAAAAAAAAAAAGCAACGACATTTCTTTACTTCAGCTGTTTTTAATGCTTTTTCCATTTTTAGGGGGGCGCTGTTGTAGGTTGCTATGTTTTTCCAAAGTCATCGTCATGTAATATAATTCAAAATTTTCTGAAGGAGTTGCTCCCAGTTGCATCTGCGTGTAAGTAAGTGTTTGTGTTTGTGTGTGTGTATGTCTGTGTGTGTTTCTTGAAGTCTGTTTTCGAGTACTTCAGACAACCAAATAACGGCATCGTCAGTATCAGGCATCAGTAGCAGCAACAACAACAGTACCGACAAAAAAAAAGTGAGGATTTTTGTTGTTTGTTGACGACATTCTACACAAATTTGATCGTTGTTTTTTTGTTTTTTGTTTTAGTTATCGCTGTTCTTGTTATTGCTTTTTTGACTTTTCTTACCGTTTTTTCTTTTCTTTTCTTTTCTGTTATTGTTTTTGTTAATGAAAATTTACCAAAAAAAAAACTGTTATCAAAAGATACAATATGTTTTAATTAGTTTTGAAAAGTAACAAAAATTTCTTTATTTTTATTATCACTTATAAAAATTTTTTCCCTTTTTTTGTTCTTTTTAATGCAAATAATTGCAGAGAAAGAGCGAAAAAAAAAATGAACTTGTTTTAATTACTTTTTCTGGTCAAATCAGCATCAATTTAAAATTCTAAACTGTTTTCTGTTACTTTTGTTCTTTGATAAGTTGACCTTTTTGGAAAGATGCAAATAGAAAAGGTGGCGCAGGCAACGGGGACGGGAGACGGGGGACGGGGGACGGGGACGGGACGATGAACCAGTACGGGGGATAATAAAAAGAATTTTTTTTTATTCAGCATTTAAATAGATTTCTTCTTCTTTTCAGCTTTTTTTTTTTTCTTTCCTGTTATACGTTAAAATAGTTCAGAATTTGCAGCACTACGGTAATTACGGAACCAACTAAATTAGTGTTATCAACTAGCGTCAACTGCTATGCATACTGTAAACATATGGTTTCTAATTGCTTATTTGATTCTACAATCATCTGGTATAACGAATGTGTTTGGGTAAGTAATTGGTTAGTTTTTGTATTCACATACCTTCTGTCTACGTCAGCTCAATCAATTTTGCAATGATTTATTGGGTCAATGATCAATCAGTTTTATTGCTTAATATTCATGCTTTTCTTTTTGTTTCGCTGCTTATTTCTTCGTTGTTGTTTTTTTTTTTTTGCTTCAATGTTCGCTAAATTTAGTTGTTTTCCAATTTTTTGCAACTTTTATCTTTTAACACATTTCTGCATACCAAAGTAATATTGTTTTGTTAAATTTTTTTTGCAGTGACATTGCTAACTTTTTTCAACAAGTCTTAACTTCTTCAATGAATTATTTAGAAATAAAAACGCTTTTTATTTTTCATACAGTCAGAATGCATCAACAGCAACCGAATGTATCCGAACAATGGTCAGCAACAGTTTCACAAAATTTGCACAAAGTGTTGTCCGTTTGTTGGAATACAAAAATGAAACACACTATTTATCAATTGTACCCGCATATACACATATGCAAATATTTTCTGATTTTGTAAGTTAATAATTTATTAAGTTCTCTTTTTTTTTTTTTCTGTTGAAAAAAAAAAACTGCAAAATAAAAGCAGTTGTTGAAAAATTGTATTATCAAACACAGATTTTGCAGACAAATTTACATTTGCGCTAAAGTTTGCAGCAAAGAAAAAAAAAAAAAAAGATACATGTGAATTAAAGAAACTTTTTTGTTTACTAAATTT